CCAGGCAAGCGCGAGGACTACGCGCAAGCCTGCGCCCAATTGCATAAGGCCATCGCATTTGATGCGGGTCGCCTAATCCGGTCTCTGGCGGATCACATGCACGATGTGATCGAGCAGCACCGCTTAATTCGCAGCCGAAACCTAAAGAGGTATGGTGTTCCTTGTTTATCGTATGGAAATTCTGTATAGATGTACCCTCCCATTGTGCCCTGAAGTCTAGATCTACTTCGACAAAATGTAATCTTTATGGTTTCGCATTGCACCTTACTCCGCCAAAACATTGCGTCGGTGTAATCATATTTCCGGAGCAGAAATTCTTTTCCAGGATTTGAATACTCGATTGAAAAGGCTTATTGAATCTCATCGATTAATGCTGTTTATGAAGGGATCGCCTGACAACCCAAAATGCGGTAAGTTTCACGAGCTAACTTTTGAGTTCTTGAGGTCTTCACTATTTTTGCTATTAATATTGTGTCATGAATACACCCACACATTTGTTCTTGCCGCAAACGTAAACGCCTTTGAGTTCAGAGTACTGTATGTATAAAAAATAAGGATTTTCTATACATGGCTAAGGTACTCGATTCCTGTTTTACTTCAATCGTGAATTTATGTTTTACTCAATCTATTTCACGGTTAAGTGTCGTAACTAGAGAGTAAACCCATTATGTTCTCCATATCCCTCCACTCTAATTTTCTTAACTTCCACCATAAATGTGGCATGAAAAAATGGTGGGGTCTCATGGATTGGTGGAGGGGTGGGAGGTTGGTTGGAGGATAGGCAAGGGAAGCACTTCTTTGCACCTGACTTGGTATCCCACACGTTCGGCGTGATTTTGTCTGGAGAATAGACAACGTTTCCGATAAATAGGGTCGACGGACTACTTGAACTCAGCCCTTTAAACCGCCTCTGCGCTCTCTCGCGGGTCCCTCTCCTCTCCAAGGCTTAGTCCTAGGGCATTCACCCGTTCTCTAATCGTCTGTGCTCTAGCCATCGCGGCAGGACCATTGAGGAAAAATCAAGTAAAAAAAGGACGATAAATAGAAGGCTGAGCACAAGTAATAAAAGCTGTAATACACTTGAATTTTAGTTCTCTTGTGGTTAGTTTAGCTTTGTCTTGTTTTTCTGTTTTGCCGAAGGCTGCAGAGTCGTTACTTCCACATTATTCTGCGAGAATCTTCTCTGCCCTCACTTATTTTCGTTCGGTCATCGTAGCCCTAAACGATGGCTCACAACGTTCGCTCACGTTTCTGAACCTTTACTGTCCGATCTGTTCAGCTGATACTTCAGGATTGACCATGCAGAGAAAATAGGTCAATAAATCTGCAGGCAGCTATTACATAGAAGAAATAGACTGAAATAAGACGCGCTAGCGAGTCGACGTTGTGGAACTTTACTTTTGAGGACACTATCGCAAGCTCCTATTCTGCTTCGCTCCTCTTGCATAATCTATTTCAAAACCACTCCATCGAAGGGTCGAAACGCGTTGATTTTCACATTTTGCCTGAATATATTTTCATGAGCAAGAGCTTACTGAAGAATTATGTGTGTTTAAGGATTCTCGAAGCAAACAGTTGCATTATTGAATGAGATCGGAGCTACATTTGGTTCATTTGATATTCTAAGCGATGAGGAGGTTAGGCAAGGACTCAAGGTGAGCAGAACATATTTTTCCCTTGTTGAATCCGTTGTCGTTAAGAATAATCATAGATGAAATACAGAGTACGTAAATAAATATATTTCAGACATATTCAAACTGGCCAACATATCCACAATTGTACTTGGATGGCGAGCTCATTGGAGGCCTTGATGTCATTCGTGAAGAGCTCAAGGATGCTGACTTCGTTGCCAAATTACCGAAAAAGGAGGTGGCGATTTACTTCTCTTAAGGTCACGTGCTTTCAAGAACCTATAACTTTAAGGAGAACGATCTGAATGCCCGGTTGAAGAAACTTATCAACAAGCATAAGTTGATGTTGTTCATGAAAGGTGATCGCTATGAGCCGCAATGTGGTAGGTCCACGTTTCCAGCGTTCATAGCTCTGATTACCTTGTTTAGAGTAACGTTTAGGATTCTCTCGTCAAATAATTCAGC